CAGAATGGATGGACTAAGGACATCACTATGCTAGAGCTTTTTCCAATTGTATTGGCAGTAAGACTGTGGGGTAGACATCTACGAAACAAGCGAGTGTTGTTTGTTTGTGACAACCAAGCAGTGGTAGCAATTATCAATAAACAAACAGCAAAACCACCACGAGTTATGTCGTTGCTTAGGCGCCTGATACTCCTCTGTTTACAACATAATATCTTGTTCAAAGCATCGTATATTCCTACGCATGCAAACGTTATAGCTGATGCACTTTCGAGATTTCAGTGGTCCAGGTTCAAAGAAGCAGCACCGCGGGCAGACGAGATACCAGCACACATACCACTGGACATATGGCAGATCTGACGACAGAGGTGCAACGTCTAGTGCAGTCTTCTCTAGCACTCAACACATGGAACCTGTATGAGTCTGCACAAAAGGCATTTAATGTTTTCCGCATCTCTTTCAGCCTGCCACACATTTGGCCCGCCCCGGTTGATCACCTTATGCATTTTATCGCTCATCTCTCCTTAACAGGAAAATCTCCTCGCACGGCAAAGTCGTATATATCAGCATTAACAACATGGCAAAAGTTACATGGTATGCATGACCTAACATCCCATTTTCTTATTCAGAAAGCCTTGATTGGATTTGTCAGACAGAAACAGAAGGCTGACACTCGACTCCCAATTACAGTTGACTTATTGTCTGTTATTGTGACAGCATTACCGGTAGTTTGTGCTTCAACTTACGAAACGTCTCTTTTCACAGCTGCATACCTGCTTGCATTTTTTGGATTTTTTAGAATCAGTGAGCTGGTGGCAGGGTCAGCCAAGGATTTCTCGCATAGGGCGTGTCTTTTGTCTGATATTCATGTGGCAGCAGATATAAGTCACATAACGATATGTTTACGCTCATCCAAAACGGATCAGGGCGGCAGAGGTGTGCAAATAAAAATAACAGCTATCCCTCACTCTAGACTGTGTCCTGTCAGAGCAATGCAACAGTTTCTATTCATCAGACCACCAGTGCACGGTCATATGTTCGTCCATTTTGATGGACGTCCTTTAACTAGATTCCAATTTCAGTCAATGTTAAGAAAGGCCCTGTCATTTTCCTTACCACACCTCAATCTTCATTTGTTTTCGTCACACTCTTTTCGCATTGGAGCGGCTACCACAGCAGCAATTAATGGGGTTAGTTCCAAGCAGATTCAGGAATATGGGCGTTGGAAATCAAACTGTTACAGCAAATATATCCGCATTACTCAACTCACCACTTAACAGTATACCTAGCAGAAACAAACACAGACTCACCACCCGTTCCTGCCTGTTGCGTTTCCACGGGGGTAACGGGATAATACGTACTTTTTCACTAACTCTAATAATATAAATAAATAAATGAATAAATGAATGAATGAATGAATGAATGAATAAATAAAATAAATACCATCAATAAATTAATTAATTAATTAAGCAGATGTTATTATAACAAAGATGCTGCTAGTGTGTTTTAAGTTTCAGATGTATGGTGTATCGGGTCCAGTTATATGGTCCGATTCCACGACCATCTGGCCACTACATCGGACTCCCTACTGACGGGTATCCGCTGGCATGCAAAGGGCGGAATGAAGTGGGGGGAATTCCGCAAGGCAGTGGATACACTTGTTGCCCCCCATCCCCAGCCGAAGTTTCTGGTTATCCACCTTGGATCAAACAATCTGTGTACAAAGGGGACAAAGGAACTTTACGACAACATGTATCTGGACATAACATACGCTCAGCTTAAACTCCCGAATACCAAATTGGTATGGTCTGACATGTTGCCTCGACAAACCTGGCGAGGGGCCAGCCATGTTAAAAGGATTGAACTGAAAAGAAAATCGCTTAATAGGCGGATTGCGGGAGTGATCAGGGAAGAGGGGGGGTCTAAGGTGTACCCACCCTCAGATCAAACATGATGCTCCATTTTATACTCCTCGGGGAGTTCATTTAAACCGGTCGGGCATGGCCCATTTTAAATCAAATGTACGCAGGACATTGTTTAGTGATGAGTAAAGGTACCGTTCGGGTAAGTATGTATAACTTCACTTTGGGGGGAGGCGCATCATTTTCTTTTCCTTCCCAGTCCCTTATCCACTCCCCATCTCCCTTCCACATCATAATTTAATCCAAATTTAATATAATGTGTGGATGTCAGCGGTGTGCATAGTGTATTTATACATTTTGCACCCCGCTGTTTGGCATGGTGCAGTCGGGGGATTTGGTTTAACACCATGCTGGTGGGTGTATGATACTCTGGCTGCCTGCTAATTACAGCGGGAGCCCAAATTCTTCTGCCCGCTGTTTCCGCGGGGGGAGTGACAGTATCTTTGCTGTGGGTCCTGTCTGCCAAGCACGGTGGAGGGACAACTTGACCCGCGATAGGGTCTGTATGCGATTTCTAGTCCGCGGTAGGACCTTGCTTATCGCCCCCGACTGCATCATCCACACTCTGCCCATTATATCCCACAAAACATCATTGTTTGTTAATCTTTTCATCTGAGGTAGTCTGAACATAATATGATTTAGCATTATTTAGCTAAATCGGTTTATGGTCAGCTCCGCATAACCAATACTAGTAACTATTCCCATTTATCATTTTCCACCATTTGTTTACAAACATTCTCCTCTCACAAGACCCGCAAAAATACTCCCCATGGCAACATACGTCAATTCTCCCATGACGTCACTACACGTGGTCTCGTGACGTCACTACTTTTACTCCCCAACTGTCAAGTCATTCTAACAACACAACACAACGCGTCCGGCGGTTTGCATTTCACCTCTTTCCCCACCCTCCACCCCCAAACCACCCCAATTGTCAGGTTGCGCCTTCTTTCCACAGTGAACAACATTGTACAAAGTCTTATCAAGTTTATAAATGTATCGTTCTTATTGTTGTTATTCTATTTCAATAAATTTGGTACAGTGGGCATGGTGCAGTCGGGGGATTTGGTTTAACACCATGCTGGTGGGTGTATGATACTCTGGCTGCCTGCTAATTACAGCGGGAGCCCAAATTCTTCTGCCCGCTGTTTCCGCGGGGGGAGTGACAGTATCTTTGCTGTGGGTCCTGTCTGCCAAGCACGGTGGAGGGACAACTTGACCCGCGATAGGGTCTGTATGCGATTTCTAGTCCGCGGTAGGACCTTACTTATCGCCCCCGACTGCATCATCCACACTCTGCCCATTATATCCCACAAAACATCATTGTTTGTTAATCTTTTCATCTGAGGTAGTCTGAACATAAACAATCTACACTGGACGATCATACATCGACACACAGTTTGATATAAACACCAACATATACTCAACAACAAAAGTTCCTGTGACACCAATATTTTAGTGTATTTTTCAAACAAGTAAAATTTGATTTTCAATCTTGTAGTACATGTATGGAATCAAGTCACAAAAACACAACTGCTACAGAAAAGCAAGCATTCCATGCAAAAGTTGACTTTTATGCAAGCCCCATGCATTTCACTACCCAAGAATGGGTATAAAAACGTGCGTTAACGGGATTCCATATGCATTGTTTAGCATCGTGCTGACAACAACCACTCAGAAAAACAACAAAATTACACAATTAATCAACATTACGAAATGCCACGCCTGTCTGAAAATGAATGTCTGCGAGCCATTGGTATGCTTGAAGCAGGATTGAGTCAACATGATGTTGCAAGACAATTTACCATCCACAGAAACACCATATCGTGTTTATGGCAACGTTGGCAACAGACGAATGCAGTCAGAGCTAGCATCCTCGGAGTGGCAGGCCACGCGTAACCAATAATCGAACGGACAACTGGATTCGAACAACACACCTACGAAATCGATTCCAAACAGCAACAGTGACTGCAAAGAAGCATCCCTAGCCTTTGACGAATATCTTCACAAACCGTACGTCGTCGCCTCAGATGTGGAGGGATTGTCGCCAGAAGACCCGCCAGACGTCCCATTTTGACAGGAAACCACCATCAAGCACGTCTACAGTGGTGAAGACAGCGTCTACACTGGACGGCCATGCAGTGGGGACAAGTTCTATTTACTGACGAATTTCGTTTTCACCTCAGCCACAGCGATGGACGGATTTGAGTGTACCGACGTCGAGGTGAACCATTGTGTCATGGAAGAAGATCGGTTCGGGGGTGGCAGCTTTATGGTATGGGGTTGGATTACAGCAAGACAGAGGACCCATTTGATAGTGGTAGAGGGAAATTTCAATGGACAGGGCTACCATGACGAGATCATTGGCCCTGTTGTTCTAACGTTTTTGCGTTGTCATGGCCCAGGTATTACCTTTCAACATGACAACGCCCGGCCTCATATTGCCCGACTTGTTCAGGATTCTCTTCAACAAAACAACGTGAATGTCATCCCCTGGCCGGCTCACTCCCCTGATCTCTCACCAATCGAGCACATGTGGGATGAGATAGATCGGTGCCTTCGATGTCAACCACGTGTTCCACAGACACTCCAGCAGATATGTGTGACGCCTGGTCCATTCCATGAGATGAAATGTGTTGCTTTCATCGCAACCAGAGGTGGACACACACGCTATTGATTTGTAAATTGACATTTTGGCATGTTGCTTTTTATGAAATCATGCATTTTCTGAAGTCAGTATGGCAAATTAAACCATTTGAACACTTACAGGAGTCTTTTATCTGTTGCAAACCGAAATTGTTTCAGATTTTGTAAAAAACATAACTTTGAATTAAGTTTTTTTCAATGTCACAGGAACTTTTGTTGTTCAGTATATGTACTGGGCAATCATGTCGGCGTTATTTTTGTCTTGTATACATACAACTCTAAACACAGAGAAATCAGATCTTATAAATACATAACCCTGCAACAAAACAACTTTTGGGAAGATTTGTATGACACTCTTTGAAATCTTCGTAGGAAAGAGCATGCCTGATTGTACCTTAGATATGATAAATCATGTGACCTATCTTGTTTTTCCAGATATGTGACAGCTGATATACAGCTAATCTAAGATCAGCCAGTACAGTTTTGTTATCAGTAACAAATGTGACAAACTACAGGTGCCAGTATATTCTATGCTTCAATATGGCCAGGTGCAGTGCGTTTACGCTTGTGCTTCTTGTCTTATTGCACTTATACGACAGGAGCACTTCAGCGAACAGTCTTGAGGATATGGCAGGCATAACCACTCAACTGCTAAAACTTGTGGAAAAGCTGCAAGTGAAAACCTCAACAAGATTTATACCGTTTGTAGAAATGCAGAAAGACAAAGGATTGTATGGGAGTGATGTCAAACTGAACTTTCATGGACCCCCTGATCTCGCCATGGTCAGGCAAGACATGAAACTTTTTGACAACAATATGTTTGTCACCTCGTGGGTGACCATGTGTTTGTTAGAGGCTTTTAAATATGGCAGAACCCATGCACCATCTTCTCAACAGCTACAAATGGCGCTCTCAGCTATAAATGAATACAGAAATAAAAACATTCCCTATACAAACTCTCTCATGGTATTTTGGCCGCAAGTGTATAATGACAGTGTGCAAACATATCAAAGTACTCCTCGAAACCTGATCAGTATGTACAAGCTGATGGAACATCTCCCGTTGGGTGGATTAGAGAAACTGCTGAAATGGCTTGGACTTGCAAATCTGGAACATATCGTAGAAGACATAATGAACATGGAGTAAGTATCACTGTGTACAGGCTTCCTTCTTTGGAGTACAGCAGGCTTGTTTGGATATGACTAAACTCAAAGTAGATATTCCTGCACTAAGGCAGTACCTAGACTTGTCAGCACAGGATATTCCATCGTTGCCTTGTAACCACAAAAAAATCACAAGATGGCTGCACCCATGGCTTGTGTCATGGGATGGTCTCGCCCACATTTTAAAGTTCACTTTGGGAGGTACATGTATGTATGATTTAAGGCTTTGGTCAGGAATTTCAAAGTAGATCATTTGTAGTGGCAAATTGATATTTCAACCATGTTTCTATTACTAGGAGATGGGTGATAAATTTCTGTACTTATTTATGTAAATTTGCTTTTTTATTTCAGAGGGGTTTTTCTTAACGCCTTCAGGATACCCCCAGATTTTGATGACACATTTGTAAACCTTGGTTTGGGATCTCTTTTAACAGACCTTAAGTCCGTATTTCCAAATGAGCAAGCTCAATGGTCACATGATAATACCAACCTCTCCTCAATCTTTGATGCGCTAAAGCACTATGCTTATAGGCCATTTTCCAATGAGAGTAGAGTGAATACCATTGATCCGAGAACATATTTCTATCTGAGAAAATTCTTGGAAAAAGCCAGCTCATCTGGGCAGGATGTCGCCCTTGTGCCAACTTGGGTAAGTGTTATCTACTGCAATTGTGTATGAAAAATAGAACTGACAAAATTGACGCTTACAATGTTTTCTCAAAAACTAGTAATAATTTACTCTGTGCCGATGTAAATGATTTATCTGTGTTTCATACAAGATAACCTTGTTCAAATGACAAATGTTTCATATATGTCTCTCTGGCCTCTGGGGACATGGCTTATATTCTTCCCCAGCAATGTTGCTTGTAGTAAGTGACGAGTACGTTGGGATCAAGTGGTTTGGCTCGAAGACTTGATTGACTGTCATCGTACCCACCGCCATGGGATGTTGCTCATTCCTTCAGTCACAGGTTTGCCATAACCTGACACAAGTATTTACTGCAGGCAGTAGCTGGAATATTGCTGACTGTGGCATAAAATAAAAGCAGTTACACAAACGTATTGGGTCTCTTTTAAAGCTGTATAACATGTTCTGTACTATTATGATTAAATAGTTACTGTTATCATGGTTATACAGAACCGAATTAGGGGCAGGGGTGTCCCAGTCATCTAAAGTGCTGCAATTCTCTGTGCAGAGTTGCATCCCTTGGGCACACCAGAAACCTATGATTGTGGGTCTGAATCCCAGTTCGCCCTGATTATGTTTCTAGGTTTGTGAACACCATACACGTGCTTGTGGGTTTCACCAAATTGGTAAAAGTCTCAGACCTGCATCACTTCGGGCTTTCCTCCCACATTAAGCTGACACACCATGATGTAACTGGAATACTGTTTAAAGTGGCACTAACTCACTCACTACCTAGAACCAAATTTGTAAATAATTGTTTATTCTGTTCATTGTGTTGAACTTCATTGTTTGCAACACTTCTATGATATGTATTATAGGCCTTGAAAAAAGATTGATTGATATTTAGATAGTGGATTTATATGGCTGAAGTATACATGTGTTAATGTTTGTCATTGTTATCACTTTTTGTTTGACACAGATACAAGATATAGATGAGACACGATACATGTACGCACGTGGTGACGTCATGCCATTTAACATCAACAACGTCGACGTAACTGTGTCAGCGAATACAATATATGGAATTACATCAGCAATCTTGACTGGACTGCTTCATCCCCAGATCCTAGATGACCAGGATGTGCAGGTAGAGAACGATTGTATTGTCCTGCCTTATTAGATGTACATGAGTATGTGTTCATGGATATATAGTCCTGCCTTGTATGTTGTCCATGAGTATGTGTTCATGCATATACAGTCCTGCATTGTCAGTTGTCCATGAGTATGTGTTCATGGATATACAGTCCTGCATTGTCAGTTGTCCATGAGTATGTGTTCATGGATATATAGTCCTGCCTTGTATGTTGTCCATGAGTATGTGTTCATGGATATACAGTCCTGCATTGTCAGTTGTCCATGAGTATGTATTCATGGATATACAGTCCTGCATTGTCAGTTGTCCATGAGTATGTGTTCATGGATATATAGTCCTGCATTGTCAGTTGTCCATGAGTATGTGTTCATGGATATACAGTCCTGCATTGTCAGTTGTCCATGAGTATGTGTTCATGGATATATCGTCCTGCCTTGTATGTTGTCCATGAGTATGTGTTCATGGATATACAGTCCTGCATTGTCAGTTGTCCATGAGTATGTGTTCATGGATATATAGTCCTGCATTGTCAGTTGTCCATGAGTATATGTTCATGGATATACAGTCCTGCATTGTCAGTTGTCCATGAGTATGTGTTCATGGATATATCGTCCTGCCTTGTATGTTGTCCATGAGTATGTGTTCATGGATATATAGTCCTGCATTGTCAGTTGTCCATGAGTATGTGTTCATAGATATATTGTCCTGCCTTATTAGTTTTCCATGAGTATGTGTTCATGGATACATAGTCCTGCCTTATTAGTTGTCCAAGACTATGTGTTCATGGATATATAATCCTGCATTGTCAGTTGTCCATGAGTATGTGTTCATGGATATATAGTCCTGCCTTGTATGTTGTCCATGAGTATGTGTTCATGGATATAAAGTCCTGCATTGTCAGTTGTCCATGAGTATGTGTTCATGGATATATAGTCCTGCCTTATTAGTTGTCCATGAGTATGTGTTCATCGATATATAGTTCTGCATTGTCAGTTGTCCATGAGTATGTGTTCATGGATATACAGTCCTGCATTGTCAGTTGTCCATGAGTATGTGTTCATGGATATATCGTCCTGCCTTGTCAGTTGTCCATGAGTATGTGTTCATGGATATATGGTCCTGCCTTATTAGTTGTCCATGAGTATGTGTTCATCGATATATAGTTCTGCATTGTCAGTTGTCCATGAGTATGTGTTCATGGATATATAGTCCTGCATTGTCAGTTGTCCATGAGTATGTGTTCATGGATATATAGTCCTGCATTGTCAGTTGTCCAAGACTATGTGTTCATGGATATATAGTCCTGCATTGTCAGTTGTCAAAGACTATGTGTTCATGGATATATAGTCCTGCATTGTCAGTTGTCCATGAGTATGTGTTCATGGATATATAGTCCTGCATTGTCAGCTGTCCAAGACCATGTGTTCATGAATAAATAGTCCTGCATTGTCAGTTGTCCAAGACTATGTGTTCATGGATATATAGTCTTGCATTGTCAGTTGTCCAAGACTATGTGTTCAGGAATATATAGTCCTGCATTGTCAGTTGTCCAAGAGTATGTGTTCATGGATATATAGTCCTGCATTGTCAGTTGTCCTAGACTATGTGTTCATGAATATATAGTCCTGCATTATCAGTTGTCAAAGACTATGTGTTCATGAATATATAGTCCTGCATTGTCAGTTGTCCAAGACTATGTGTTCATGGATATATAGTCCTGCATTGTCATTTGTCCATGAGTATGTGGTCATGGATATATAGTCCTGCATTGTCAGTTGTCCAAGAGTATGTGTTCATGGATATATTGTCCTGCATTGTCAGTTGTCCAAGACTATGTGTTCATGGATATATAGTCCTGCATTGTCAGTTGTCCATGAGTATGTGGTCATGGTTATATGGTCCTGCCTTATAAGGTGTCCATGAGTATGTGTTCATGGATATATGGTCCTGCCTTATAAGGTGTCCATGAGTATGTGTTCATGGATATATAGTCCTGCATTGTCAGTTGTCCATGAGTATGTGGTCATGGACATTTACATGTCTGTTTGCTTTATTTTCTAATTGTAGAAGATATATCTGAACACAACTTCAATGTTGATCCATGAGATCAACACCAACATGACAGACAGACGGGATCTGGCACTCACATACTATCCGTCCTTATTTGAGTTCTACTGGTTCGTAGCACGGACTGTATGCTTGATCAACACAAAGACACGCACAGGGCCACTGCCACATGAGGTTACACCAAGTCTATCTACATACTTTGGGATCAACCCTTTCATGTTCTCGTTAGTGGTGTGGGAAATTGTCTGGGATTTTCTTTTTTAAAAAAAAAAAGCAACTGAAAGAAGTAATTGACACTGGAAAATATAGATGTTAATGTGCACAACTAATATTTGAACTGTTACTGGTCCAGGCCGCTCTGGACATACAAGTAAGAAACTATTTTTTAACTTACCTCTCCACAACAGTATGCAATATTCCTTCTTGCTTTGATCATATAATAGTGTAGAACATTGTGAAAACAATCCACCAGAACACACCCTCCGACCCCCTCGCTCCCAGCATGCTTGTTCACTACTGATCACTTTTTCCATGATCGCCCGTAGTGAACGGATGTGTTTACGGTTGGATTTGTTTGTCATTTTGGTTTGAGGTGTATATATCTCCCTATATACACTTATGTACAGGTTCCAAGCCGTTCCTTATCAATAAATATCAAATAAACGGCTACTTTCCTCTCGCACACGTTTCTTTCCCCGTGATTACTAACATGACTTTTGACACATAAATGCTTCGTTTTGGTTTCCCTTCTTGTATTTTTTCTACCTCCCTTCGTTTGTTTAATGTTCATCCATATTATACTCTCTTTTTCTGTTGTAGATTCAAAGATATTATGGATGATGTGATCATTTTGGAGATGTTGTTGGGGGTTGACGACGACCTTCGCCATCTTCGAAAGTGCATGGACTGCCATGGCAAGAAATTGACAGCCATGAATGATTCTGACAGTCTTTGCCCTGACTGGACCAGCCATGCTCTGAATCCCTGTACCCACTTATCCTCCGACCTTTTCAACGCTTACCTGGCTAAATTTTGGTAAAGGGATCACCAATAACTACAGTGCCAGTCTTTGAACCCCCCTCGTAAGGCTGCGACTGTCACCTCCACCGCCTCTGGCCTCACCATCAGCTGATTCTGTCCTTGAGGCTACCTCGCCTGGTACATCGCCTCTTTCACTGTTGTCCCCCATTGTATCTGTTTGCTCAGGAGCTTGTCCCACAGGTACTTTGATAGCTCATGCTATTACTACTATTGCCTCTTCGGCTGTAACATCAACCTGCCTTCTTTCATCTGCCACTGATGCATATTGGCAAGCCCTGCCTTGCATTCCCATCATGTCAGTTGATGTGGAGCCTTCAGGTGCCTCATCAGACTCACGCACCTCATCAAGGGCAACACCACTTCAAGTGCAGGCACCCCCTCGGACGTATCTCCAGGCTCCTGGCGCATCCTCATGTGGAGCAGGTGCAATTGTTTCTCCATGTGCCTCACCAGACAATGTATTCTCAGGCAAAGCTACTGGGTTATCAGCCTTGGATGTTGGGTTGTCACCCTTCTTGTCCACAGCCCTTCCAGATGCCTTCCACCTGGCCTGCCCCGTTTTACTCACGGCAAGCGCAGGCTCCTCCGCCACCATTGCCTCCTCAGGCGCCGCCTGTTCACATGTCTTCTCAGGTGCATCTGCTTCGGGTCAGTTCGCTACTGGTAACCTCTCCTCAGACTCATATTGACAGTTCGGCAGTTCGGTACTACCATCCTTGTCTCCTTGGTATTTCCCCCCCCCCCCTTCATTCGTCACCTGTTCAGGCTTCTCAGGCTGCTTGTGCTTCAGGCTCTCCTCCTCGGCAATCCAGATCCCATTCGTTGTCTCCTGACAGGGTTTCCATGTGTGTGCGTTTTTTGGCAAGGGCCTCCTCTTGCTTTTCGACGCCTAGTGTTGCTACCTCTTAAGACTGAGGAGCAGCCGCTCTACACCTTAAATGATTGGATCCTGTGGATCATGGATGTCCTTAAACCAGAGGAACCTCTTCCTCTGCCTTCTGCGTAATGCTCCTTCGATCCAAAGATTACTGCACCATCCTGCACTCATCATTTGGTCAACAGTATACCTGCGCTGTTGCAGCAGGCTTTGGGTAAGGTAGCCCTTAAGAGTTCACTTCCTAAACCTGCAATTACATTGTTCCGCTTTAAATTGCATGGGATTTCCTTTCCAACTTTGTCACCTCCCCTTGATGTAGAAGATGCTAAAACTTTGGGTCGTTCCACATCTTCGCACCTCAAGATAGGTGATAGATCCCTTATATCTGCTGATTCTTTTGATTCTGTTGATATTCTTTTGTCCCTCCTTCCATTGTCACTTATTACTACCTTTGTTCAGGCTTTGGTTATGCGGATTGGCCTGACAAAAACAGATTTTTTGAGAGAATTGCTCTCAGCGCTGGATGAAATCGCTTGTCTCTTAGAGTACTTGGCACAACTCCTTATCCCCGCCACGGGCTCCCTCCTCCTTATGCTTATATGAAGGCTCTTTCCACTGCTCAGGCCGAAGCCACTGTTCAGGCACTACAGATGTGTATTACCCGCCTGGGGGCCTACCTTTAGAATCAGAATACAGTAGCACAAACTTTTCAAACACGTGACTGTACCCTATGAAGTAATTTGTAGTATTTTGTTGCCAGTCACACCGGCGAAACAATGCCCTGTGACGTCAGGGGTCATCGAGTGTGCATAAGCTCCTTCCAGTGATCTATCATCTATCTCTACACGCTATGTCACTGAATATGCCCAGCAATGTTGAGAATTTTGAATATTTGTCTACTAAATATAGCCTGCGGCGGTGATTTTTATAGCAAGCACTAGTTTATAAAAGCACATTTTTTATACATTTTTTAATTTTCGTTTGTGGCTAAAATGATGATAAATGGGAACTAAAAATACACATATTACTTTTTCTATTCATTAATTTTCATTATTATGCACAGGAATGCAGTTTTATTAGATATGTTATATTGATGCTGAACACATCCAAATGTCACAGGTGTTAGGGTAGGTTACTCCAAACTCTATCCTTTGCCCTTGGATCACCTTTACAACCAATCTCCCCTTTACAATCATTAGGGTTAGTTTCCCGTTTAGTGGCTATTATTGATTCTTTAGCTGCTTCTAATATTCTTCTCACAAAAAACATTGAGAAAAAATTGATAAAATGGTTTAGTATCAAATATTGTGGCTATTGGAAACTGTCCTGGAACATTCACACAAGCCACTTTCATCTGCTACATTTTTTCAGTACTGATTCAAAAGCTAACTCACCCTTGTGTTGTCACTAGCCATTCTTATGCCTCCCTCGTTCCTTACAATTTTCAACATTACCCTTTTAGTGTTCCCTACCACACTTTTCTGTCACAAAAATCACCCGACATATTATTAAATCCCATGTCGGTATCTTGTAGATAACAGAATGGGTCGAGTGTGCCAAATGGCATCAGGATAACTCATAAGTGTACGTAGACTAAAGTCACGAGACACCCGTAACCTTCGTAAGTGTCCGTCACCTATTGACCCTTTTCGTTCAGTTCCGTAACCGCGTAGGCATGACTAGTTAAATTTGCACTTAGTTTCACAGTGTGGACGTAGCTCAGTCAGTTAGCTGTCGGGCTAACAATATTCTCACAATATTCTAGACAGATTCTCACAAAAACTGGTTGCCTGTCTTTGAAACATGTGACCTACGGCAGAGATCGTCCTCATGAGAAGTTGTGGTATTCTAAAGGGGCTCCCGCCCGGGTACCCAGTACACCCTTACCACCCCATATCAACCAAAGGCTAAACTGGGTACAATGTGTGAAGCCCATTTCTGGTGTCCCCCGCCGTGATGTTGCTGGAATATTGCTAAAAGCGGCGTAAAACCATACTCACTCACTCACTCAAAGGCTAAACACCTCATTCATGCTCAACCTTACTCTAAGCCTGCGTCATAGGCCGCATTTTGCCAGTCATCTAAGGCCAGGTCCACAAGGGGTTACAGTCAGCCTGCTTCCTCGGGAGCTGGGTATGAGGGTGCTTCCCATGTTGGTCATCCCTCCTCACAGCTCTCCTGTCGGCGATTTTGGGATCAGCTCTTCTTGGACCGCTGGGTTAATCAGACTCTTCATTATGCCCGCCTCTCACTGTCTTGCCCCTTCAAATACCTTACCGGAACATCCAGATTCTTTTGGTAGCACCTTATTGGCCCAGTCTACTCGCTGGAGAGCCAGTCTTAAAACTACACATATTTCCTAGTCTGCTCAGAAACACACACAATCGTCAACCACACCCACAATTTAATCGTGGTGCGTATCATGAGGGCAACTACAGTTCGTGATCTTTTTAGCAGCTCCAGTTGCAACGTAATTTCAGACCCAGCCTTACCTGTAACCAGACATGGTCGATGTATTACGGGACTAATGAAGTTGAACACACCTATTGGTTGAAGAGAAAGTGGCAGCCTAGTCGTGTAGTCCATGCTCTGGCCACACCACTCAATTGCAAATGGGGATATGCAGTTGATCCTACTGTGGGAAAATTGCACACTGTTGTGGAGGGATAACTTAAACAATATAGGGAATCAGAGTATTCTCTGTACCTATATACTTATCCTGACCCAACAGGTCCTGACCGCCCACTGTCCATCCCCTGAATAGTGGCTCCACTTCAAGTGATGAGTAGCGCAGGATCATGCTGGGTCGGAGGGGGTCGGAGGGTGAGGATTGTTTTCATGATGTTCTACACTGTTATGTGATCGAAGCAAGAAGGAATATTGCATACTGTTGTGTCAGGATGAGTGTATAAATACAGGGAATACTATGATTCCCTATGATTATGTAACGTAAATGAAGTTACAAATAGACATGAGCTCGAAACAGGCACAATGTTGGAAATCAGTTATGAAATAACTACTTTAACCCAGTTATAAAAAACATCATTCTTGAGTCACACTTAATATACGGTATAAGGATGTAGATTGAAGTAATGTGTCGTGGTTAAACCTACAGATACATTGTCGATCCGGGCCCCACATCTTTAACGTACAATATGACCATCTATTTAACTATTTTCAGCTGCTGTACACTGTCGGAGCTCACCTGACTAGCTCCCTCCGTGGGGCCATGACACAGGCCATCTTGTTGGCAGGGAAGTCACAGGGAAACACCACCTATTTTGATGACTTTCTTGGAGACAGAGACATGACAAAAGATAACAAGACTCAAGTAAGCATCATATGTAAGCACCCTTGGGGCCTGGGGTAGAATGGCAGCCTATTGTCGCAAGAGGTGCCTAAGATGGATCGGTGTGATCAGGGTTTGTGACTTGGTTGATTGCGTGTCATCAGCTTATGGCTTTGCTCATAATAATAACCTCTAGTTTGTCTGTGGTTTGATTATGAACCGGTTATTGTGAAACAGCTGGGAAATGATGACTGCAGAGTAACGCTTCTATTATGTGTACTTTTGTAATTAATCCTGACTGGAGGAGTCAAGGCAGCTTGGAAGCAATGTGATTGGGACATCATAACAATTCTCCACATGAGCATGTGGCCATCACATGGCCAAATAATCATATTAATATGGTATGTATTGTGGACGTAAGTATTTTATAATGGATAGATAATATATTCTTCGTGTTGTAAAAAAATGACCAAAACAAATATAACAGAGATATGGTTCAGTAATACAACTGAAGCATACGATCACAGTGTATAGGATGGTGTGAAGTGTAACTGTACATTCTTGTGTGAAAGATCAATGGTGAGGACCGCATATTTACAACGGCAATGGCAACCAATGCTCTCATCCAAACGTGGGCGGTTTTCGACGAGACACAGGGGAAGCTATTCTGGATAAAAGGTAAACACGACTGGCAGAAACGTCAGGGTGCGCGCAACTGCAGCGACCATTTATTGTTCTTGACCAGCATTCCTTGTTCACTTCCTCTAGCCTACACATCTATATATGAATTATCTTGTTTAAAGCAGACCGACTATCTTTAGCACCCCGGACTGAAATATGGGTGCAAACTTTCCTTATTATAATTGGTACCTTGGTATTTTCACAGATCATCTCAGATCTCGCTTTTTTTTTAGATGCAAAGTCATCAAGAAACGGTACGATATATTACCCACCGACTACTATATATTTTGTATATTACAGAAACACCGACATCTGTTAGGGAGACTGTGGGGAAATCTGTTCAATGGCTGATCAACAATGTACTAACAGGACAGTACAAGCCTTGGAACGCCTTCTTCTCGGGGTCATCGAAAGGTCACGAGGTACACATCGACCTAACTTCTAGAATGTGATCTATGTTGTTTTCAATACTTAAGCTATGTTATCTGTATTTACAGTCTTGATAGTATACCTAAAACCCATATCACTACATTGATGTAGCTATGTATGCATCTAAAGTTTGTTTTCATTAATTGTTGTAGAAAGTAGTTATCATTCTTTGTTTTTAAAAAGTATCGAGAAATTCTTTTGAAAAACTTATCAATGAACATAATTTGAACGGTTTCCTATCATGTTCAGCGAGTTTAGATTCTGTATTTTGTCTGTTGTGTTCAAGTAATATTGGGTTTGTTTTTTCCAGTGTTGTGTTCACATAGTATTGGGTCAGTGTTACATCTGTTGTGTTCACATAGTATAGGGTAAATGTTACATCTGTTGTGTTCACATAGTATAGGGTCAGTGTTACATCTGTTGTGTTCACACGGTATTGGGCCAGTGTTACATCTGTTGTGGTCACATAGTACAGGGTCAGTTTTACATCTGTTGTGTTCACATAGTACAGGGTAAGTGTTACATCTGTTGTGTTCACACAGTATAGGGTAAGTGTTACATCTGTTGTGTTCACATAGTATAGGGTAAATGTTACATCTGTTGTGTTCACACGGTATAGGGTAAATGTTACATCTGTTATGTTCACACAGTAAAGGGTAAATGTAACATCTGTTTTGTTAACATACTATAGGGCCAGTGTTACATCTGTTGTGTTCACATAGTACAGGGTAAGTGTTACATCTGTTGTGTTCACACAGTATAGGGTAAGTGTTACATCTGTTGTGTTCACATAGTATAGGGTAAATGTTACATCTGTTGTGTTCACACAGTATAGGGTAAATGTTACATCTGTTGTGTTCACATAGTATAGGGTAAATGTAACATCTGTTTTGTTAACATACTATAGGGCCAGTGTTACATCTGTTGTGTTCACATAGTACAGGGTAAGTGTTACATCTGTTGTGTTCACATGGTATTGGGTAAGTGTTACATCTGTTGTGTTCACATAGTACAGGATCAGTGTTTCATCTGTTGTGTTCACATAGTATAGGGTAAGTGTTACATCTGTTGTGTTCACATAGTATAGAGTAAGTGTTACATCTGTTGTGTTCACATACTGTAGGGTAAATGTTACATATGTTGCGTTCACATAGTATAGGGTCAGTGCTACATCTGTTGTGTTCACATAGTACAGGGTCAGTGTTACATCTGTTGTGTTCACATAGTATAGGGTAAGTGTAACATCTGTTGTGTTCACATAGTATAGGGTAAATGTAACATCTGTTTTGTTAACATACTATAGGGCCAGTGTTACATCTGTTGTGTTCACATAGTACAGGGTAAGTGTTACATCTGTTGTGTTCACATGGTATTGGGTAAGTGTTACATATGTTGTGTTCACATAGTACAGGATCAGTGTTTCATCTGTTGTGTTCACATAGTATAGGGTAAGTGTTACATCTGTTGTGTTCACATAGTATAGAGTAAGTGTTACATCTGTTGTGTTCACATACTGTAGGGTAAATGTTACATATGTTGCGTTCACATAGTATAGGGTCAGTGCTACATCTGTTGTGTTCACATAGTACAGGGTCAGTGTTACAACTGTTGTGTTCACATAGTATAGGGTAAGTGTAACATCTGTTGTGTTCACATAGTATAGGATCTATGTCATCTATGTCTAGAGTAATTATTACGTCCATTGTGGTCACCGCGTGTAACCTCTGTATTGTGTTACATCTATTGTCTATTATTACGTCCATTGTGGTCACCAAGTATGGGTTCTGTATAATGTCCTTTGTGGTCACCAAGTATAGGTTCTGTATTACGTCCATTGTGGTCACCAAGTATAGGTTCTGTATTACGTTTATTGTAGTCACCAAGTGTAGGTTCTGTATAATGTCCTTTGTGGTCACCAAGTATAGGTTCTGTATTACGTCCATTGTGGTCACCAAGTATCGGTTCTGTATAATGTCCTTTGTGGTCACCAGGTATAGGTTCTGTATTACATCCATTGTGGTCACCAAGTATAGGTTCTGTATTACGTTTATTGTGGTCACCAAGTATAGGTTCTGTATTACGTCCATTGTGGTCACCAAGTATAGGTTCTGTATAATGTCCTTTGTGGTCACCAAGTATAGATTCTGTATTACGTCCATTGTGGGCACCAAGTATGGGTTCTGTATAATGTCCTTTGTAGTCACCAAGTATACGTTCTGTATAATATCCTTTGTGGTCACCAAGTATAGGTTCTGTATTACGTCCATTGTGGTCACCAAGTATGGGTTCTGTCTAATGTCCTTTGTGGTCACCAAGTATGGGTCCTGTATTACGTTATTTGTGGTCACCAAGTATAGGTTCTGTATTTTGTCCATTGTGGTCAACGAGTATAGGTTCTGTATTACGTCCATTGTGGTCACCAAGTATAGGTTCTGTATTATGTCCATTGTGGTCACCGAGTATAGGTTCTGTATTACGTTAATTGTGGTCACCAAGTATAGGTTCTGTATTACGTTCATTGTGTTCACCAAGTATAGGTTCTGTATTACGTCCATTGTGGTCACCAAGTATAGGTTCTGTATTACGTCCATTGTGTTCACCAAGTATAGGTTCTGTATTACGTCCATTGTGTTCAACAAGTATAGGTTCTGTATTACGTCCATTGTGGTCACCAAGTATTATAGGTTCTCTATTACGTCCATTGTGTTCAACAAGTATAGGTTCTGTATTACGTTTATTGTGGTCACCAAGTATAGGTTCTGTATTACGTTTATTGTGGTCACCAAGTATAGGTTCTGTATTACGTTTATTGTGGTCACCAAGTAGAGGTTCTGTATTACGTCCATTGTGGTCACCAAGTAGAGGTTCTGTATTACGTTTATTGTGGTCAACGAGTATAGATTCTGTATTACGTTTATTGTGGTCACCAAGTATAGGTTCTGTATTACGTTTATTGTTGTCACCAAGTATAGGTACTGTATTACGTCCATTGTGGTCAACGAGTATAGATTCTGTATTACGTTTATTGTGGGCACCAAGTATAGATTCTGTATTACGTTTATTGTGGTCACCAAGTATAGATTCTGTATTACGTCCATTGTGGTCAACGAGTATAGATTCTGTATTAGGTCCATTGTGGTCAACGAGTATAGATTCTGTATTACGTTTATTGTGGGCACCAAGTATAGATTCTGTATTACGTTTATTGTGGTCACCAAGTATAGATTCTGTATTACGTCCATTGTGGTCAACGAGTATAGATTCTGTATTTACGTTTATTGTGGGCACCAAGTATAGATTCTGTATTACGTCCATTGTGGTCAACGAGTATAGATTCTGTATTACGTTTATTGTGGTCATCAAGTATAGATTCTGTATTACGTTTATTGTGTTCACCAAGTATAGATTCTGTATTACGTCCATTGTGGTCAACGAGTATAGATTCTGTATTACGTTTATTGTGGTCACCATGTATGGGTTCTGTATTACGTTTATTGTGGTCACCAAGTATAGATTCTGTATTACGTTTATTGTGGTCAACGAGTATAGTTTCTGTATTACGTTTATTGTGGGCACCAAGTATAGATTCTGTATTACGTCTATTGTGTTCAACAAGTATAGATTCTGTTTTACGTTTATTGTGGTCACCAAGTATAGATTCTGTATTACGTTTTTTGTGGTCACCAAGTATAGATTCTGTATTACGTCCATTGTGGTCAACGAGTATAGATTCTGTATCACGTTTATTGTGGGCACCAAGTATAGATTCTGTATAACGTTTATTGTGGTCACCAAGTATAGATTCTGTATTACGTTTATTGTGGTCACCAAGTATAGGTTCTGTATTACGTTTATTGTGGTCACCAAGTATAGATTCTGTATAACGTTTATTGTGGTCACCAAGTATAGATTCTGTATTACGTTTATTGTGGGCACCAAGTATAGATTCTGTATTACGTTTATTGTGGTCACCAAGTATAGATTCTGTATTACGTCCATTGTGGTCAACGAGTATAGATCCTGTATTACGTTTATTGTGGTCACCAAGTATAGATTCTGTATTACGTCCATTGTGTCAGGAGTATAGATTCTGTATTACGTTTATTGTGGGCACCAAGTATAGATTCTGTATTACGTTTATTGTGGTCACCAAGTATAGATTCTGTATTACGTTTATTGTGGTCATCAAGTATAGGTTCTGTATTACGTTTATTGTGGTCACCAAGTATAGATTCTGTATTACGTCCATTGTGGTCAACGAGTATAGATTCTGTATTATGTTTATTGTGGGCACCGAGTATAGGTTCTGTATTACGTCCATTGTGGTCAACGAGTATAGATTCTGTATTACGTCCATTGTGGTCAACGAGTATAGATTCTGTATTACGTTTATTGTGGGCACCAAGTATAGGTTCTGTATTACGTTTATTGTGGTCACAAAGTATAGGTTCTGTATTACGTCCATTGTGGTCAACGAGTATAGATTCTGTATTACGTTTATTGTTGGCACCAAGTATAGATTCTGTATTACGTCCATTGTGGTCAACAAGTATAGATTCTGTATTACGTTTATTGTGGTCACCAAGTATAGGTTCTGTATTACGTCCATCGTGGTCACCAAGTATAGGTTCTGTATTACGTCCATTGTGGTCAACGAGTATAGATTCTGTATTACGTTTATTGTGGTCACCAAGTATAGATTCTGTATTACGTCCATTGTGGTCAACGAGTATAGATTCTGTATTTACGTTTATTGTGGGCACCAAGTATAGATTCTGTATTACGTCCATTGTGGTCAACGAGTATAGATTCTGTATTACGTTTATTGTGGTCATCAAGTATAGATTCTGTATTACGTTTATTGTGTTCACCAAGTATAGATTCTGTATTACGTCCATTGTGGTCAACGAGTATAGATTCTGTATTACGTTTATTGTGGTCACCATGTATGGGTTCTGTATTACGTTTATTGTGGTCACCAAGTATAGATTCTGTATTACGTTTATTGTGGTCAACGAGTATAGTTTCTGTATTACGTTTATTGTGGGCACCAAGTATAGATTCTGTATTACGTCTATTGTGTTCAACAAGTATAGATTCTGTATTACGTTTATTGTGGTCACCAAGTATAGATTCTGTATTACGTTTATTGTGGTCACCAAGTATAGATTCTGTATTATGTCCATTGTGGTCAACGAGTATAGATTCTGTATCACGTTTATTGTGGGCACCAAGTATAGATTCTGTATAACGTTTATTGTGGTCACCAAGTATAGATTCTGTATTACGTTTATTGTGGTCACCAAGTATAGGTTCTGTATTACGTTTATTGTGGTCACCAAGTATAGATTCTGTATAACGTTTATTGTGGTCACCAAGTATAGATTCTGTATTACGTTTATTGTGGGCACCAAGTATAGATTCTGTATTACGTTTATTGTGGTCACCAAGTATAGATTCTGTATTACGTCCATTGTGGTCAACGAGTATAGATCCTGTATTACGTTTATTGTGGTCACCAAGTATAGATTCTGTATTACGTCCATTGTGTCAGGAGTATAGATTCTGTATTACGTTTATTGTGGGCACCAAGTATAGATTCTGTATTACGTTTATTGTGGTCACCAAGTATAGATTCTGTATTACGTTTATTGTGGTCATCAAGTATAGGTTCTGTATTACGTTTATTGTGGTCACCAAGTATAGATTCTGTATTACGTCCATTGTGGTCAACGAGTATAGATTCTGTATTATGTTTATTGTGGGCACCGAGTATAGGTTCTGTATTACGTCCATTGTGGTCAATGAGTATAGATTCTGTATTACGTCCATTGTGGTCAACGAGTATAGATTCTGTATTACGTTTATTGTGGGCACCAAGTATAGATTCTGTATTACGTTTATTGTGGTCACAAAGTATAGGTTCTGTATTACGTCCATTGTGGTCAACGAGTATAGATTCTGTATTACGTTTATTGTTGGCACCAAGTATAGATTCTGTATTACGTCCATTGTGGTCAACGAGTATAGATTCTGTATTATGTTTATTGTGGTCACCAAGTATAGGTTCTGTATTACGTCCATCGTGGTCACCAAGTATAGGTTCTGTATTACGTCCATTGTGGTCAACGAGTATAGATTCTGTATTACGTTTATTGTGGTCACCAAGTATAGATTCTGTATTACGTCCATTGTGGTCAACGAGTATAGATTCTGTATTACGTTTATTGTGGGCACCAAGTATAGATTCTGTATAACGTTTATTGTGGTCACCAAGTATAGATTCTGTATTACGTTTATTGTGGTCACCAAGTATAGGTTCTGTATTACGTTTATTGTGGTCACCAAGTATAGATTCTGTATTACGTTTATTGTGGTCACCAAGTATAGATTCTGTATTACGTTTATTGTGGGCACCAAGTATAGATTCTGTATTACGTTTATTGTGGTCACCAAGTATAGATTCTGTATTACGTCCATTGTGGTCAACGAGTATAGATCCTTTATTACGTTTATTGTGGTCACCAAGTATAGATTCTGTATTACGTCCATTGTGTCAGGAGTATAGATTCTGTATTACGTTTATTGTGGGCACCAAGTATAGATTCTGTATTACGTTTATTGTGGTCACCAAGTATAGATTCTGTATTACGTTTATTGTGGTCATCAAGTATAGGTTCTGTATTACGTTTATTGTGGTCACCAAGTATAGATTCTGTATTACGTCCATTGTGGTCAACGAGTATAGATTCTGTATTACGTTTATTGTGGGCACCGAGTATAGGTTCTGTATTACGTCCATTGTGGTCAACGAGTATAGATTCTGTATTACGTCCATTGTGGTCAACGAGTATAGATTCTGTATTACGTTTATTGTGGGCACCAAGTATAGGTTCTGTATTACGTCCATTGTGGTCACAAAGTATAGGTTCTGTATTACGTCCATTGTGGTCAACGAGTATAGATTCTGTATTACGTTTATTGTTGGCACCAAGTATAGATTCTGTATTACGTCCATTGTGGTCAACGAGTATAGATTCTGTATTACGTTTATTGTGGTCACCAAGTATAGGTTCTGTATTACGTCCATTGTGGTCACCAAGTATAGGTTCTGTATTACGTCCATTGTGGTCAACGAGTATAGATTCTGTATTACGTTTATTGTGGTCACCAAGTATAGATTCTGTATTACATCCATTGTGGTCAACGAGTATAGATTCTGTATTACGTTTATTGTGGGCACCGAGTATAGGTTCTGTATTACTTCCATTGTGGTCAACGAGTATAGATTCTGTATTACGTTTATTGTGGGCACCGAGTATAGGTTCTGTATTATGTTTATTGTGGTCACCAAGTATAGGTTCTGTATTACGTTTATTGTGGTCACCAAGTATAGGTTCTGTATTACGTTCATTGTGTTCACATTGTACAGGGTTTGTTTTACGTTTTTGATGTTCAACCAGTATACGGCCTGTTAACCTGGTATAGAATCTATTTTACCATTCCTGTGTTTACATTGAATAGGACCTGCAGTGTTTCTGGTGTTCACCTGGTATAGAATTTATTTTACCATTTCTGTGTTTACATGGAATAGGACCTACACTTTCTGAAGTGTTCACATGTTAGTCTGTTACGTCTATTGTGTTCTGTGTGTGTTTGTATAACAACACACTTAATCTCCCCACAGAGCATGCCCTTCTGGTATCCTGTCAACCGGATGGAGTACCTGAATGGCACTAAGATTCCAAATGACCAACACTTCCCGTCTTCCCCCTGGATAGCCGGCTTCAAGGGAGTAGTTTCAGAGGACAGGTACCTGGAAATGTGTCGCCAATACCATTTTGGTCAGAAGACCCCAATGACTTTTTCCGGCTATAATGTTGGAAGTGGGTACTTCCCCTTCTGGACGTCGGATGCATATACCTATGCGTCGACTACGCTGGCCATCTCCCAATACAGCAACATACATGTGGAATAAGTTTCATCCAGAAATATCCATGTACTTCCCTCTTAATGTATTATGGACAAGTGAAGTGTTGTTATTTATAAAATGTTTCAATAAAAACAACTTTCCAAACACTGAGGAAAAAATTCATTCGGCAATAAAGCAATTGTATGTAAACAAACTCAGATATACTTTCCATGGCTTTGTGTGAGCAACATCCTGTGATAAAAACTGCCGTTCAGTTTTCAAAACTAGCACTCCATCCATTCCTGAGACTGAAATAACAGAAACCTACATACAGACTACAACATGAGTTCTGGTTGCTGTTTGATACTGTTTTTGATAGGAGTATACATACACTTAAAAACATATCATACAAGCACATTTTCTTACTAAAACAGACGTCAATGTCAGTATGTTGTGCCGCAATCGCTAACATCATTAATGGAGACTGCCATGCAGCTTCAAAAAACAATTTCACATTATCCGAAAAACAATTGAAATGTAAAACAAAAGTCACAAACCATCAGCATTCAAATGCTACATTATTGGTAACCTAGGTTTTCCCTAAAATCTATTGGGTGGTCTGGCTCAGTGACTTGATTTAATGCATGTCATGATACCCCGATGGGGCATTACTCACGACATGGACATGGATGGTTTTATCAGCAACTGTGATATAGCTGAAATATAGCAACAACAAAATTATGTAGCTCTGCCCTGACTCTATGAGCTACTTGATGTCACTGGCGCCAGCAGCTGGATGTGAATGATTTTACATTTTAAATTAAATTTTGCACATTACACTGCAGGTAACTTGTCACATATGAACACCAAATACAGAGAAGCACACATAATGTTCCATCTTGATGGCTCTTGACTTGAGTTCTACAGTAGCTTTACTACACAAATTCTCTTTTGGTTAAAAGAAATGAGTAATACAGTTTGAGTTTGGTGTAAACGTATTGAGACGTAAAAAGTGTTGTAGGGTGTATCGGGAACGGCTATTCCGGACGGGAACAATGCTCGCGGTGTGAAGTTTGCAAGGTGCCAGGAACATCTTCCAAGACTGGTGGAAGTTAGTCCTGTCAGCACGTGGCATCAGAGACCATATAATAGATTATTATTATATGGTCTCTGGTGGCATCGACGAATCAAGAGTACAGATACTAATAACAAAGGACGCTATGTTATTATAGAGACATATATACGAGGCAGTTCAGGCGCAATTTAAGCTTACGACACTCGGGCAGATGGGCAGCAACTACCAGCTAACAGAGGAACTAGACTAGTGTATTCATCAGCATAGGTGACTTGACTCGACGCACTCATCACACGCCAAGAGCAGCCACAGCAGCAGTGGGGGACTTGTTGTGGTGTTCCTCCAGAATAGAGATGTGCACGGGGCGGTGATACCTCCTGCGAAGGTAGCCATTGTGACGGGTCTGTGCGACCGGGGGCTGATGATGGCTGTTGTGCCAGGTACGGATCCGCCTGTAACGACTGACGCGGTGAACGTGTTGTGTTCTTGCAATGTATAGTATGAGCATCCACACTGAAAAGACACAAAGTAGTTCACGTGAGTAGTAAGCGATGCATATCAACAGACATAAAGCAGATAAGCCAGCATTAAATCGTATGTCCCAGTTCATCCAAACCATCTCTACGTATTATTGGAATAATAACCATAGATCAAGTATCAGCCCTGCAATAATTATGTTCGTGAATGTTCACCAATGTTAATTATTATGAATATTGTACGTGTCACTATATACATGTATTTAACAGTACATCAGTGTTTTATAACTAGCATCGAAAACACCCCCTAAGTATGTTTTGGACTGAAGGTATCAACATGTATCTGGAGTCTTATGTAAAGTTCTTCACGACACAATGAGATCTGTGCATTGTTACATCTATATGCTTACCAAACAAAAGTATGTTTCCTGTCAAACCCATATCAGATTGTCTGGACAGCAGTTCGTTGGCAGGGAATAAGTATCAAACATCAATCACGTGTCGCGTGAAACAAATGAGGGTTTGTATGACTTTTCGCACTTTCACAATGATACTTTCTTTCATGTGGTTAACTGCAAAATAAGCTCTTCCGGATGAATAATTAATAAAAGATAAGACAGACAGTTCCGTAAAAATCAAATTCTGAAATTGCAGTTTCTTCAAAGTAAAGGTATGTGTCCGCCAACGGCGCCCAGTATTGGTCTGGACTCCATGTGGCGGGCGCTACAGACTATCACGGCAGGTAGCCCAAGCGAGGCACGTTGTTCGTGTTTGATATTATTTATACTCATTAGCATTAGTAGTATTGCGACTGTGTTACAATTTTATAAATTTACAAATTATATATTTATTTTATGCATTTGAAACGATAACAGAGGAATAATGATTAACGCATTCTAAAATTTAGCAGCACTGGATAATGTATTTTAAAAAGTGTATTAAAGGGATAAACTTAAAAAGCATCAATGAAGGGCTTATGCGTTGGTCCCATTTAGGCAGTCAAAGAAAAGGGGTGATGTGGAGTTTGCTCGAGAATAGGAAAGTTTGTTTTGTCGTTTATCGAAGGATCTTGGCCATGATCTCGACAAATCGAGGCAGCTGATTTTGTTAGATTTCAAGAAGTGTGTAATTGCAGAGACTAATACTTATTTGTTTGAAGCAACCTTTGTCAGGTCAATCAGGTGATTCAGGTCGGGAAAGGTCACCAACGTCTGTTTGAATCTCAGAAAGTCGGGTAGTACATTCCTATAAATTCAGATACCCTACTTGGTTCGGAACAGTCTTCAGGATGCCGTTAGGTGTTAGATGAACATATTGTTTCAAGTCCGATCATTTTGATATCCAAAACTCAAGGCCAGAAATCCGACACAAAGCTCACACCATGCTGTTGTGAATGACAAGCCCCAGCCTATTTCTGGTATCATGTACAGGGGAGGAGTATGTATGTGGTATTTAGCTAAGAATGAGTTAGTGAGTTTGGTTTAATGCCGTTATCAACAGTTTTCCAGTTATATCACGGCGAGTCAGCTTAATTTGGGAGGAAAGCCACTCTGCATAGCAAATTGTGGCGCCTTAGAGTACTGGTCCACCCATGCCCCATACTATTCTGAGGAACAGATATTCCCGTATCAGCTGTGAGTTGGGGTCCTGCCATTTTCGGAAGTCTCTCCAGTTAGCGCGGATTTTTTATTAGAGGGTATTGGTTGAGTTACTGGTGCAGTTGTTACAACCCTTACCAATTACTCTTAATGTAAAAAAAAATACATTAAGTGTTACGTGTTTACTCTTAACGTAAAAAATATACATTAAGACCCGCTACCCTTAAAGTAAAGATTTTCTTTTTACATTAAGGGTTAATATCGTACATATCGCCCTTTATTGTAAAAGATTCTTATGAACAAAGTTTGACTGGAAATATAGTGTACTTTTTGCTATTTTTACATTTTGCATTGTGTTTGCTCGGTGTCATAACTATTCGTAATAGAATATATTCTTCCTTCAATTTTGCCCGTTTTCCCTGGAACAACATATATAGTAGAGCCATGGAACATGTGTAAATGCACTGCACCTTTCATATTCCAACAACCTCTCGACAACAACCTGGTTTCTTTTAGTGGTTTTTACTGACATGGTAGGTACAAAGGTGTATCTAGGGACACTATACAATATGACTTTATTTGCGTTACTACTTTGCTTCTGTGGAAACGAAAAGCGGCATCTGCAGAACTGATTGATCGATATTCAAGGATTTTGTACAAATTTGGTATTTAGGTGCGATGTATTTCAGGGCTCAACCGAATACGTTTTCTTACCATCATGGGAAAGTTACCGAGGCATCTGATTGGTCGAAATTTAGTTGTTCGATTTCGTTAAATGATGTTTAGATATATCTGTACATACAAAGCACATTTTATAACAATAGCATCGGAAGAGCCCTCTGATTGGTCGAAATTTAGATAGTTAACCGCATTTAAGACTATTTTCCCATACTAATAAGTGCTCTTTATGAAACAAGGTGTGGATGATCAGCACAACATACAGTCATATAACCTGATTCAGAAATCCAAGATGGTCTCACAGTCGCGATTTTGTATTTTACAGGTCTCAAACATCTAAATGAGTAAATATATTTATGAAGTCCTTTTAAAAACCCTCGTGAATATCATTTTATTTGATTATTAGTTCATTGTACCCCCGCAACGAGGTTGAGGGGTATAATGGAATCAGCGTGTCTGTCGGTCTGTCCGCAGAAAATAACTTTCCGGACACTTCCTTCTAAACTAATTGACTGATTTCAATTAAAATTTGTACACGTGGACACGTCAACATGTTGCATGGCACATTGCAATTTTTGTTTTCCATTTCGGCGGAGTTATTGCCTTTTATTAGTTCGTCATTTCTATTTGGACAACGTCTAAACTACTACATCGATTTCTTTCAGGTATGTACGTAGGTGTAGCTACGGACACTGTTCGACATGCCTTCATTTCCATTACCAATATGGTACCATGGCAACGGAGCGGAGGCCTCTGATTGGTCGAAATTTAGAAATCCGATTTCGTTCAAATTTTGTATATTGACGACATGTGATGGGACTCCGAACTTGACCACACAGGTTTCAACCGTGTCAGTGGAAAGTAGGCCTCTGATTGCTTCTTAAAATATATTGAACCGCAAAAAAACGACACCCAAGCAACATTGCATAAAAAGTTGTCATTTAAATATCTTGGTAGTTTTTTGGCAAAGTGTCTAAAATTTAACATTACCTTGTCCGGAAAAATGAAATTTGATGATAAAAAAACCCAAAAGCAGATGACAATAAAACCGATCGCCCAAACGCATCACTGCAACGGCCATGGTAACCCGATGCACGTGAGTTCCGTGCAAATTGAAATGCACATGCTGTCCCCCATGTCTTGCCCTATAAAAATCAACCCAGATCGGATAACATTCATTCGTTATTGAATTGCTACCACATGCCGAGATTGACAAGAAATCAGCAACACCAAGCCCTTGGACGATTGCACGGCAAGTAGCCAATGTATTTCAAGTCCACGTAAGGACCAAATACAGGCTCCAGCAACGGTACCAGACCACCAACACTACAGATGACCGACCACGTAGTGGAAGACCAAGGGTCACCACGCGACGTCAGGATCGTCCGATTGTGCGACAGCATCTTCAAGATCGCTTTAATTCTTGTGAATACCTCACCTCTATCACATCAGTGCCATAAATTCCTGTTTATGCTGAGTACCACACTAAAATTTTTTATAAATTTTCAACAGACGTCCACTACACTGCCAACATATCCATAGTTGTGAGGGAAACGCTATCCCTTGCCAGAGGCGCCACTGCGCATGCGCAAGGCGGGAATCTAGTCACTTCTTTCCTGTGTGTCCTGATGACAACAGGGAAAATTTGTTGTTGCACATCCGAACACGTGATTGCGTTCCACACTACAAGCATTAGATCGTCTCAAGCTTCATAGATTACAAGCAAAGAGCAGTTCTACAAGCAGAACGGGGGTATAGAAGATCGGAGTCTCTAGTAAGTAATTAGTTAAGAAAAGTGTTGTGGGATGAGATCTTCATCTCATAAGCAGACACCTGTCTGTTCGGGCTGTGGACAACACCAAGCTCCGGGGGATCCTCACCCTAGATGTCTCGCATGCAAGAAAAGCAGCTGTACACAGAAGTCAAGGTGCAGTTATTGCGAGCATCTGTCAAAAGAAAAATTTGACAAGCTCTCAAAGGCATGGATCAAAAATCCCGATTATAAGAAAGTCACTAGAGCATCTACATCAAGAAAACAAGTGATTAAGCCCGAGGCGGCAAAAATTAATCACGTGGGTGACAAGCGAGTGTCGCGCGAGGGCGCCATCTCACCTTATGAGGAGAAGAGATCACGTCGCTCATCCCACTCTCCCTATAATGTTGAGGAGCAGATGCATGTTACCGGTCAATCAGAAAGTACCTCTAACTTGCATCCGGCAACGTCTGGTACGGTCGATCGTCGAGTTTGGACAGAAACTAACGACTTTCACCCTCTGCCGCCTTCCCCCTTTAACGTAAATGAGTTCACGGAAAGAATAACAAATTCTATGTCTGTTATGATTGACACACGCATGCAATCTATGTCTCGAGAAATCTCAGATCTAAAAGAATCAGTTAATCAAACTCGGCTTGGCTAATCAGGGATCGATCACGAGAATAAACAGAGATCTAAGGCTGAATATGGCAGTACACCCTCATACAGCAGACATGTAAAGAAAGGTTACGATGAATCAGATTATGAGGACAGTAGGAGAATTATACTAAGAGACCGAGAATCTCATAGATCTTCTCCCTACGACGCATACCATAGGGATCATCGTGAATCACGATCTTCACACCGAAGTATGCATAGAAATACGCACCAATCACCGTCAAGCCACTATGATAGACGCACTGACAAAGCTCGTGCATATCAGGATAGTAATCCTAAGCGTGCACCCTCTCATACTGCCACACAGTCCTGTTATACGGGCGAAGAAAGCGAGGGAAATATGACATCACCATACAGTTATAGACCACGTGATTCTCGCACAGCTTGTAGTAAATCAGACGACCGGGATTACGATACCCTCAGCCATACGACCCACTCCCAGCACAGCCAGAGTAGGGGGTGCCGATCTACACAGGAGTATTCAGGCTATGGGGACACTGCTATAGAGGAGGATTATAGATCAAACAATTACTCCCTTAGAGACATCTTAGCAGAACTTTATGAACTAATGCCCACATTAAAACCAGATCAGGACAGTACACCCGTTAAACCCTTGATTGAACGTGCAGGATATGAGGGACCCGATAAAGGGACCGAACCATATCATACGCTTCCCCCTCCGTCATATTTGGATGACGTCATCAAGAAAACTGAAAATCAATTGAATTGTTCAGCGGGACCTAGTGCGAAACTGAGGCCTGTATTTATCAAATCTGCTTACAAAACACATGATGATCCGTTCTCACTACAGCCTAGCATTGATGAAGATTACTTCGATCTGGTTAAGAAACCTAACCCCAATATGCGCATTGATATGTCCAAGATCAAGAGCTTAGATAGGGTCAATAGACAAATGATGAATACCAGTTCTTACATCAACTGGTTAGCAGCTGGTATTCGCCATGTCATACCACCGTGCAACCAGAGCGAAGATCTTACCTTAGACACTTCCATGGAGATGACTAGTCAGAAGACGGGATTTATCCACAGCTCGTTAGACCACATACTGAAGATGCAGGAAGACCTCCTATCAACTCAAGTATGGATGTCATCGCAGTTTTTGCTCATGCAAAGAAGACACTTACTTCAGCAAGTTCATCATGTGATGCCAGACCCCTTAAAGAGATCCATGATGTCACAGCCCATTACGTCATCGCAGATTTTCAACGGTAGACTGAAGTCGGTGAAGGAAGCTATTATCTCTTCAACTAACCAGAGATTTCAGGAATCCACCATCTCATTAGCATCCAAGTTACAGAGACAACCGGCGGCTACTCGACCCCAGCGACGGAGTACTGGACCCCGACGTGAACAGCCCAACCGGGATTCTTTTCGAGCCTCTACACAGAGAAACAGATCGTATCAACCTAGGTACAAGAGCTCCAAAGTTGATTTTCCCACTTCACAGAAAGGACTTGGCAGAGGAAGAGGCAGTTCCCGTAGGGGCCCCCTCCGGAGATGACTTCACCATAAATCTACAGACCCATCCAGATCCTACCGACTTCGCCTGCCCTACGGACAACGATTTAGCATTACGGAAGACCAAGGACAAGTCTATTCCAAATCCAGTCGAACTAGCCAACCTTACAAACATCGACTCAAGACTTCCCAAGTTCAAATCTCATCCTATTCCAGGGCCTGTCGGGGGCCGTCTTACGCAGTACGCAGACAACTGGGAGACCATCACAGACGACTCATGGTTAATCGAAGTAATAAGAAGAGGCTACAAACTTCACTTCTTAAAACGACCAAAACTAGTCATTCATCCTACCGGACCCCGATTCCAGCTATCAGGACCCAAGCTCATCGCAGCAGAAGTGGCCATACAAGAATTACTCACAAAAGGAGCTATCAGCACCCTAGAGGAGTCAGACACCACCCTCGGATTCTACTCCCCAGTTTTTCTGGTACCGAAGAAGAATTCTTCAGAGATGAGATTAATAATAGACCTAAAAACTCTGAACAAAAATTACCTGGAAAAACCACCCACATTTCAGATGGAATCTATAAAGAAGTTAAAGAATTCCCTAAGACAAGCAGATTGGATGATAAGCATAGATCTCCAAGACGCATATCTTCACGTCCCCATCCATCCAAGCCATCGTCGATACCTACGATTCGCTGTCAACGGTCAGAGATACCAGTTCAGAGTACTACCATTCGGCATTTCCATCGCCCCATGGTTATTCACCAGGATCACCAATCCCGTCATTGGGTTCGCCCATATGAAGCTCATAAGGCTGCACGGATATATAGACGATTTCCTATCGGTCGATCAGGACAAATCACAACTCAGTCTAAACACAGTGTGTCTCATCCAACTTCTCACACATTTAGGTTTCCTGGTTCACTCTCAAAAATCAGAGCTAGTACCCACACAAACCATCACCTACATCGGCGCAAGATTTATTCTCGACAAAGGCATAGTCGCACCCCCAGAGGACAGATATGCAAGGGTACAGCACATGATTACGAGCGCACTCGATCAGCCCGTCAAGTCGAGAAGGTGGTGGATGTCTTGCCTAGGCACGCTCACATCTATCCAAGACCTAACCTACAGAGGCAGGCTACAATTGCGGTCCTTGCAGATTTGGATGAACACCACCAAGAACCTAGAGCTGGAAGCACTAATCCAACCCCCAGAAGTTCGAATCTCAGAACTCCTTTGGTGGCTAGATCGTCAAAATGTCATGCCAGGTATTCCACTAAACTACCCCACCCCCCTACATCAACTCTACACAGATGCATCAGGAGAGGGTTGGGGTGCCCATATGGACGATGCCACCATTCAAGGGAAATGGTCCTCCCAAGAGAAAGAGTTGCACATCAACTGTCTAGAAATGAGAGCAATATATCTAGCATTAACAGCTTGGCTAGATCGTCTACACCACTCGTCAGTGAAGATAGCTACAGACCACTCAACCGTGGTCGCTTACATACAGCACCAAGGAGGCACAAGATCTCAGCCTTTACTGAAGGAGGTTACACGTTTATATGCCTTGGTAGACTCAGTGAGTTGCAAGATCGAAGTAAGACACATTCCGGGCAAGCTAAATATACTAGCAGATTACCTATCCCGGAAGAACAAGATAGTACCCACAGAATGGTCACTACATCCCGAGGTGTTCAAGTGGATAACCCAGGTATGGGACAGTCCAAACATAGATCTATTCGCCACATGTCTCAACAACAAACTACCAGTCTATGTCAGCCCGGTACCAGACCCACTAGCACTCCAAGTCGATGCGCTCTCCATGGAATGGAAGGGAATGTTTGCTTACGCATTTCCCCCATGGGCTCTCCTAGACAGAGTACTGAGGAAAATAGAGGAAACGGACTGTGTCATAATCCTCATAGCCCCGGCATGGCCAAAAAGGGCTTGGTTTCCGAGACTCCTACAACTCCTGATAGAAGTACCTCTGAAACTCCCAGTACGTCCCGACCTATTGAGACAACCAAAGACGGACATATTTTACGGCCGCCTCGACAACCTCCATCTTCACGCTTGGAAGTTATCTCGCATAAGATGCAAGCAGCCGGTTACTCTGAATCAGCTGCACGAAGAGTGGCTAGCTCATGGAGACCAACCTCATCTGCATTATACAATAACAGATGGGACAAGTTCGTCGAATGGAGAAGAGGAAAACAGTTACATGGAGATATAACGATACCTATAGTAGCCGATTTCTTGCTCCATCTCAGAAATGACAAGAAATTACGACACGGCACTATCGAAGGATATAGATCAGCCCTGTCATCAGTATTACAACACGATGACCTATCTATAGGTACCCATCCAGTACTAAATCGACTTATGAAGTCTTTTGCCCTGGAAGATATAAAAGTACCACGTACTTTTCCTAAATGGGATCTATCTATAGTATTGTCGGCATTGATGAAAGCACCGTATGAACCCATGAGTAGTGCGACATTACTATCAGTCTCCAAGAAAACTGCTTTTCTCTTAGCCATGGCTACGGCGGCTCGCGTGTCAGAACTACACGCTGTTGACATCTCCACTGTAACCCATACCAAAGAATGGAAATCAGTGTCGTTCAGATCGCTCCCTGAATTTATTGCCAAAAACCAGTCGTCAACCTTCGGCCCACTCGGACATCGGCAATACACAATTCCAGCCTTAAGTAAAAGTGTGGACTTCCCGGATAGATTGCTTTGCCCCATAAGAGCCTTGAGATATTTTATCACAGCGACTCAACCCCACAGAAAGCAGAGAAAACGCCTATTTATCTCTTGCAAGCCCTCGTCAGAAAAGGACATCGCAAAGGGCACTGTAGCGGGATGGCTAAAAACAGCTATCACAGATAGCTATAAAACGGCACAAATCTCCACTCCGATTTGGGGTAGCTGCAGACCCCACGAAATCAGAGCACTGGCAACAAGCCTAGCCACATGGAATACTGCATCCATCGAACAAATCGTGGCCAGCTGCCAGTGGAAGTCCCACAACACTTTTTCAAACTTTTACTTACGAGACATACAGACCGATCTAAATGGACTATACACTCTGGGGCCTTTGGTGGCCGCCCAGGTGATAGTTACCAAATAAAGTAACCTGTTCCCTCCCTCTTCCAGGAAAGGGAAAAAAGAGGGGGGGTGGGGTGAAGATTTCAGAAGTACCTCAGGAACTCAGGGTAAGTTGTACTTTGTTACTGGACTGCGCTATTGAGTTAGTAAAACAGGGCAAATGTCAACACTGAAATCAGAGATCGAAGGATTAAGTGATATACGGTAATCTACATGATAGAAAGGTTAATGTATTACCACCGGAAGTGACGTCATAGGAGTCATCACACCGGAGAAACGTTAAGATACGTTAAATATCACTATCCAAAAAGGGCATAACGGTAAACCACGTCATAAGTGATACGGGAGAATAGTGACACCGGAAGTGACGTCACAGATGACGTCATCACCGGAAGTGACGTCACAGATGACGTCATCACAGGAAGCGACGTCACAAAAAGTCTAAGTATCACAAGGGAATATACATATACCCTTCACATGACGCCTTGAAAATTATATACGTCTAAGTCTTGTAAGTAGACTATTAGACACATCCGTTTAAGACCTTTTTTGGCATATAATCCTTGGTTTTACCACTTCACTAGCCAAATATCTATGGGATGCTAGATACCAGAACCCGCCGGTCCCTCTGGTGTATACTGGCACTGATGTGATAGAGGTGAGGTATTCACAAGAATTATCAAACAATAGTTATCATTGTGAATAATTCTAAGAATACCACCTCTATCACATCAGGAATAAATCCCTCCCACCTCCCCAAATATCTGCATCTAGTTGATGAGAGTATGGGTTGAAAGAAGTGACTAGATTCCCGCCTTGCGCATGCGCAGTGGCGACTCTGGCAAGGGATAGGGTTTCCCTCACAACTATGGATATGTTGGCAGTGTAGTGGACGTCTGTTGAAAATTTATAAAAATTTATAGTGTGGTACTCAGCATAAACAGGAATTTATGGCACTGATGTGATAGAGGTGGTATTCTTAGAATTATTCACAATGATAACTATTGTTTGATGTTTCTGCCCCAGAAACTGCTCGACAGACCATGGGGACACACCAGAGACACATTAGTTCGGACACCGTGCGTCGACAATTGACGAGCAGACAACCTCCACTGTCACAGGCCACACCGAGGACCCATTGTGACATCACGTCATCGCCGGGACCGTTTTCAGTGGGCAACACAGCACCAACATTGGCGCCACCAGTAGTGGTGAAGAATCCTCTCCTTAGACGAGAGCCGTTACTGTATCTCAACAGCAGATGGCAGAGAGGGAGAGAGTCTGGCGACGCCGTGGGGAACGTTATTCGGATGCTTGTGTTGTTGAGAGAGACTCGTGGGGTGGTCCGAGCATCATGGTGTGGGGTGGAATTGGTCTTGCACAGAGGGTCGGCCCTGTGGTCTTCCAGAACATCGGTCCAGAGATAGGTAATGGTGTCACAGCAGCTCGGTACGTTGATCAAGTCTTGAGACCACACGACACACCTCATTTGGCACGTCGCCGCAACCACGAGTTTCAGCATGATAATGCCCGTGCCCACACTGCGAGAGCAACAAGAGACTTCCTCCAGCAGAATGGCATCAAAACCATCAGTGGCCTGCCCTCATTCCCGATTTAAATCCCATTGAGCACCTGTGGGACGAGATTCAAAGACGGCTGAATGACATCCGACCAAGGCCGACAACTGCAGCTGAACTGCGTCAGGCGTTCCTCAGAGTGTAGGCTCAAGTGCCTATGGCCTTCGTCAACCGCCTCATCCATTCCATGTAGCGACGTTGCACGGAAGTCATCAATGCACATGGAGGACACATGGGATACTGACTTGTGATGCCATTTTCTCAGAGACTAGTGTTGTGTTTCACTTTAAGAACATTTGACACTTTATTTTCAACCTTGATGATTAGTTTTGCCTAGTTTCATCTTTTTTATATGTCTCAAAGTATGTTAACAGTGTTTGGACAAATAAGGTTTCTCATATATCTATCCATGGTGACGTTTCTTTTGCGGTTCAGTATAGTCTACCCTAATTAGTATAATCTTAAAACAAACAAACAGAGGTTGTGATTATGTCGTCCAATATGATTGCAGAGGGACGCTTGGATACTCATGATAACATTATCATACGTCTGCGGGAGGTATATAATTTTGAGCCATACATGCAAGATGGCCGAAACGCTTATGTGACGTATTGCCATCCGTCTTAGTACGACGTGCGTCATCCGTCATGCGAAATCTATTCACAATCCAATATGTTTTATTCATAAAATATGTCGAAAGATAACATTTGGTACGAAGTTCCACGCCGAGCATATGTCAGCTCCCCCAGAAGATCGAATGGTCGGTCCCTAACTGACATAAAATACTCTACAGGTCGTATGCCTAATGTTCTTTTTTCGCTGTTTTCAATCAACAATTTAATGGTCTTACTACAGGATATGCTAAACAGCTGTAGAAAAGGTATTGACTTCATATCCAAAACATATATAACTTTTCATGGCTATTTTTGACTCAACACGGAACTTGTGAAACCGACCCGTGAAGATCCGGGGTAGAATAGGTCTTCAGCAACCCATGCTTGCCCTAAAAGGCAACTCTGCCTGTCGTAAGTGGCGACTAACGGGATCGGGTGGTCAAGATCGCTGACTTGGTTGATGCATGTCGTAGATAGATGCTCATGATGTCAATCACGGGATTGTCTGGTTCGGACACAATTATTTACAGACCGGCGTCATATAGTAGGAATATTACTGACAAACATGTGAAACCGACGGGGTGTTTTTTAAAAAAGAAATACATCATTGCATTGGCATTCCGGGCGTTCGTAACATCATATGGTTCTGGTGTATGTTCAACTGTCATATGCGCAATACTGCTTCAAAATATCTATTATTTTATGCCTAAAACAAAATGGACCATTCTAACAACCCACCTTCATCTACGACATGGTCTGGTCTGCTTGGTCTGAGTCCTTCTTTCCCTCACTGTGGTATTAGGATAGTAACGGAAATGAGGTTACCTTGTAGATTATCCAAAGATCATCTTTGTACAACAATAAGTTTGATAGAAATCTGTTAAAAGGGTCAGGGGTCATAAACCCGTTTATGAAACCTGCACATTGCAGCCAGGTGGTCGTTGCAGACGGGGAATCCAAACATGATTAGGCATTTGCACATCTAGACAAAGTAACGATCACTTAAATCTGCGAAGTGTCATGAATGTTCGATAAGTATTATTTCATAGTGATAACCCTAAATGTAAAAAAATATATCTGTCACTTCAACTCTTAATGTTAACAATTTTTACATTAAGAGTATATTTTACATTAAGAGTTAACCCGAACCCTTAATGTAATTTATTTTTACAATAAGAGTCATTTTTACATTAAGGGTTGTAACAGTGCACTTCTTTATTTTGTTGATTTGTAATCAGAATTGGTGTCAGGTTATGTGCCACGATACTCATATGGCAGGTCATGTGGGTGTTAAACAAACCTTGTGATAAGATCTTAGCCTACAGCTAACACTTTGAGGACTGTTGGCTTACTATAATCCCATTGGCTCAGCGCTTAAGGGAAATCTGCGACCCTGACATCACGTCCTTACAGGACATGAAAACCCCTACCCTTGTGGTTTTTCCAACATTTGAATTGTGACATTAGCAATGTATTTTCATGTCACATATGTATAGTTGCTATTCATTTCAGAAAGCATTTAGTATTGCAGCCTGTTAAAATCACAAATGATTTTCAATGAAAAAAAATCCACTTCCGGTAGTTTTCACAGTGTTTTTCAGTGCTGTTTCCTTCTAACATAAGGTGTTCAGGGTATCAACCTTGCGTTTAATTGGATATCGGGATATGGCTGAAAGTAGCCATATGCTTGGTTTACAAATCTGGTCCATTTTCGAGTGAGAACTTCGCAATTTGCCACATATGTCAACATTTTAGCATATTATCAAGATTAGATATGACCTGATGAGTTATTTTTGACACTGGGTCATGCTGAGACATTTTGTTTCAATAAAACTAACGATTATAGTAATGGGGAATGATATGTGAATGGAGTGATATTTGGAGGTATGAATGGAGGTCCGGCAGGTGAGTCCCACCATCGTTACACCT